ATAAGTCCCCAAAACCAAACTATAGAGATGGTCCGGTGGGGCCTGGCTCCATAACGACAGTATATGTGGACCCCCCGACCCCTAAACCCGAAAGCCTCGACATCTAAACCCTAAAGCCTCGACCCCTAAACCCTAAAGCCTCGACCCCTAAACCCAAAAGCCTCGACCTCTAAACCCTAAAGCACCAAAACCCTAAAAACCCTGGGAGGAATACTCCGCCGAGACGCATCCTGCGCCCGACCCCAGCCCGACTTGGACTTTCGCCTGAGCTAAAGGCGTAGGGTTTAGGGGTTAGGGTTTAGGGTTTAGGGTTTTAGATTTAGTTGTCGGGCTTTGGGTGTATCGTTCAAAGTTTGTAGGATTTAAGATCTCCGATTCAGGCCTTATATAAGACTTGATCTAGAAGTTTATAGAAGTTTAGAGTTTAGAGTTTTGAGTTCAGGGTGTAGGGCCGACATTGCTTCAGATCGTCATCCACCGAGGGCGCCCTAAGAGGGATCACAAGATTGAGGCCCTTAAAGAAAGGGGGCTTAATCAGGGGTCTAAATTAAGTTCAAGACGCATCTCTGATATGCTTTTTTTTATGGTAAACTGGTGACTGGGAGCGCCGTAGTAGCCAGACTGTCGGGTTTAGGTCTGAAATGCTATACTCTGAATGTCTTCTGGGCCTGCCAAGTTGTAGGTCCCTATAACTCGCACAAGTCGAAGCTTACCATTGCAGAAGCCACGACAAGATGCCAAGAGTTGATGCTGCTGTACTGCAGAAGTCATGTAGGACCCTCTTTCGAACTCGAGATCCCAGTAAGGAGTTCGCAGTAACTTAACTCAGTCAGAAGACGCCTGAAGAAGGCTTTGGGAATTGCTGTGCTATGGACATGTTTTCAAGCCCGACAGCATACTGTTCCATAGTATTCAGACTCCAAGTCCTTATTCGTGCTCATGTTCGATTCCTTGTGCTCACTGCGGGTTTCTCTGAACCTTTTCTGGGTCTCTATATGTAGTATGGAGCTCACGGAGGGGGTGCTCTGAATTAGCCATTTTGCAGGCACTTAACGTCCGAAAGGCAAACTGCCATCCTGTTGAACCACTCCGTGGCGAAAGCTCTTTTTGGCTCAGGCCTTCAATCTAAGCCCCAAGACCTACGGGGGACCTACCTTAAGGGCCCTAGTAATTAGAATAGGGTTTGGGGATCCTTGATAGCATAGTGATAACAAGGAACCCTAAGGAATAACACTAGTAACTTTTGAGGCTTCTATTTTGCAGGCTTTTGCTTGGGTTGATCCAATTGCATCGGTGGAGCAGTTGATAGGAGCAAGTACTATTTAACAGCAATCCTAAAACCCTCTCAAGGGGCCCATGCTTGGTTCTGACCGCAATGTCTGGGCTTTGATACCACCAGCCTACCTTCACCCCGCCTTCGGACTCAGTGACTCAGGCACGAAAGCTAGGCTTCAGGTCAGTGCCCTAAACCCTTAACCCTAATGCCCTTCCAATGCCTGATGGAATGCCGTCTGCCACCGCTGGGCTCTTTAGGGGATGGCGGCTCCTTTGCAGCAGCGGTTTGCGGCTGGGTTTAGGGTCTAGGGTTTACGGTTCTTTGAAAAATCTTGGGCTTGGCAGCTCGACGTATAGTGAAGCTAGGACAGGAATACTCAGATACTCCGAAATGCATTATAACTAGGAGCAGTCTACGCTAGCGTATATCCCCTAACTGAGGGTGTTTGGGGTCTCGGGCACTCTGCGCACCTTCGTACGAAACCCTGTGTTCACAAAGTCTCTCGGATGCACCGTTTGAATGCTCAAATCCCACTGCCGTCGTCCCTACACCCGAGACCCTAAATCCTAAACCGTACCCTGGGATCCTAGGAGGATCCGAACTTCGGGGCATCGAGGCCCCCCTTAAACCCGAGATCAGCGAAACGAATCGCTGGGGGTGGTATCCTTGTGACTAGAGGGCTTCTTCCGCAGCCTCCAAGAATGCTACCTAAACCCTTAAGCCCTATAACCCCTAAGTCCTAAACCCTAAACACTGATGCTATATCTAAACCCTGAACCCAAGCCTCAGACCTTCAAAATACCCCTAAATCTCCGAAACTCCAAACCAGCCGAGAGCCTTAGCTCGGACTGATGTTCCAACACCACATCTAGGCCTGATACCTAGCAACCGAATTCCGTGGCCAAAAATGGTGGTCAGACTGTTAGTAGCGGTATGCAAAAATGAGTCTAAGGAAGCGACAGGCTACTGGGATACTGAGAGGTAGGCTTTAGGACTTCCGTGGGTTTAGAGGCTTGGGAGTTCACGGCAAAAGGGTTTTGGCTTTCGAGGTTGAGGATGTCGTCGAAGTGATCAACCCAGATGCCCTAGACTTCAACGTCACACAGCCAAAGCAGTCATGACATTATGCCGGCCCCATGAGGACATCGAGCTCTACAAAAAACACGGAAGACACGGCAAATGCTGCCTTTCGGACTTCAAAGCTCGGCGGATCACGCACTCTAGTCATCTCCAGTCCCTAAGCCCCATCGCCCCATGAATACGCCCCTGACAATAGGAACCTACTCAGAACACGCTACTTCACCCGTAACTAAGAACTTCAGGTCCCTATTCGGAACTCTAAAACCCTAAATTCGTAAGCTCTCTAAACCCTCTCAAGCCATCATCATAGCAAAGCGAATTGCATTACAGTAGTGGTTTAAAGCAACAGAAACCTCATCGTAGTCAGCATAAGTAAAGAACTAGTGGTAATTACCATATACCCTCCTGCCCTACGCCTGAGCACGGGGCCTCATCTGCCACGGCATCGACGTCCACCTCCTCGCTCATCTCTCCCACCTCATCTTTTCCGGAGCGCCCAATACCCTACAGTTAAGGAATGGTTGCTTCAATCCTGAGATGAAGCCCGTCCAAATTTGGGGATATATTCCGTAGTTAAGGGGTATTGGATGGTATTGGGCTCTCTGGGCTTGAGTCCTTAGAGGCTTTATTTAAAGGCGCTAGCAGCTCCAGCACTCGAGAAGCAGTTCGAGAAGGGTTCTGCAAAGGCTCTTGGCGGGTTCTGGAAGGGTTCTAGAAGTCTTCGGGGTCGGGCGATGAGTAGGGCTTGAAGGTTACAGGGCTTGACGGTTTACGATCAGGGCTTGAGGGGTTTCGGGATGCACACTCGTCTGCTTTCCTTGCTTCGGGCTTGGCTACCTGTAGCACATGGAGCCTCCCAGTCTTCCCCAGATGTTGTAGGGTTTGGGGTTTAGGGTGCATGGCCCATGGCTTTTGAGGGTCTAGTGTTTACGGTTTAGGCGTAGAAATCTAGCAAAACTTGCTTCATGCGGTGCCTTCCCGAGCTGTTTGGATACTTGGCGATCTCCGCTACGTCCGGCTACAACGAAAAGTACGAATGCAATTGCCGAAAGGGGCCTGCACGGTTCAAGGGTTTTTGGGGCTTAGAGAGCTGAGGGTTTAGGGTTTTTAGTTTAGGGTTTTAGGGTTTAGGGTTTTAGGGTTTTAGGGTTTAGGGTTTTAGGGGTTTAGGGTTTAGGGTTTTAGGGTTTAGGGTTTAGGGATGAGGCGGATTGGGTCATCAGGGTGGGACAAGTGTCGCCCGGCCACTCATCCGTGTCTCGCGCAGCCGCTCATCCGGGTCTTGTGCAGCCAAGGAGTTCCGGAGCAACATGGATGCATGGCCACAGCTTTGTCTGCAGCTAGAGATTTGTGGCTGGGTTAGCTTAGGGGTTAGTTAGGGTTCAGGGGTTTGCTGTCGGCGTTGGATTGGCTATGTTCGGCGTTGGCTGCAGATTACCCGGGCTATGAGTGCCCTAGTCGGGGTTGGAGGCTTCTCATCGTGCTGAGCTTAGGGTCAAACCAGACGGCTGAAATTGCAACCGTCGTCTATGTCCTCAGGTGTGCGGGGTTGGTGGTGTTGGCTGGGGATGTTGGGTGATACGAGCTCATGTAACCCATGTGTGCTTGAGCTGGGATTGTCGAAACGGCGGCAAATGATAAACATGCAGCAAAACCTCACGAAATCGCCGTGGGCAGCGATTAATTACAGCATAGGGCCTAGGCACTAGCGGAGCAAGAGGCGACTGTAGGGGGTTGGGTCGGGTTCCCGTTTCAGATTCCTGCATAGAAGTGCAGTGAAGGCAACTCACGGTTCACCTTTATAGCTTCTCTCGTTCATCTTGTTCTTAGTCAGGCTTCTTGGGCCAAGACACCATGAAACTAAGAAGGAATTGACAAGTCCTCCCATCAAGTGCGGCGGGGGGTACCAAGCTGGAAGTAGTTGTCACTGTAGATTTTGGACCGGCCTCGTTCCGGAAACTCTGTCTGTAGTGCCTCAAAAAACCCGAGGTAGACCCCAGTTTGGATGCTAGTACGAGGGAAACGTCGCAGGGGCAATCCAGAATGTCGTAGGACAGCCCGGGGATCTGCAAATAAGAAACCCTAGTCACTGAAAACTGCAAACCCTAAACTTACGGTTTCAGGCTTAGTTCACTTGGGCTTGGGGGTTTGACACTGACGGCTCCGAAATTCAGCTGCAAGCCCCTAGACCCTAAATCCTAAACCCCTACACCCGAAACCCCTAAACCCTAAACCTGATCTCAGCCATCCTCACAAATCCCACAACTGCAGACGGGCGAAAAGTCTTTGCAGTTCGAAATCGATGAGGGAGCCTACTGCTAAGCCCCTTTTCTCAGTTTAGACATAGGTCTTGCATGGCTTGTAGCATAAAGCTTCATTCTGTTGCTATTGTTTTGTGGTACCACACAAAATCACGATATTATCTAGCAGGGGCGTTCAGTGCAATGCCTCCACTCAACCACTGCAGAAAAACCTGTACGGTTGACAATAGGTTTTGTGCCGAACTTCGGTTTCAAAACCTCTGCTGAACCCTGGCATTTTGGAGGAAGAACAGAACTGTAGATTTTAGAGCTAGAAATGAAGATTATTGAGAGAAGAACTGAAGATGCCTGCGCCTGGCAGGGTGCGGGGGCCGGGTTTGTGCCTCCAGCTTATCTGCCGGCAGGAGCCTCCATCTAGAAGGTTTTTTTGACGTGTGTTTTTTTTGGTTTGGGGCTTGTGGGGTTTAGGGTTTATGGTTTTGGGTTTGTAGCGTTTAGGGTTTTGGGGTTTGGGGTTTATAGGAATACCTAACGAGGGCTTTATGGAGGTCTCTTCTATCTGGCTTAGGGTTTGGAGGTTTGGGATTCGGGCTGGCTGCAAGGCTGCAGGCTCCAGGAGTTGCGAAGGGCTGTCCTGAAACCCGGCTCCCGGTTTAGGGTTAAAGGTTTAGGTTTAGGGTTTGGGGTTTGGGGTTTAGGGATATCCTTACAACCACAGCCACGAAAGAACATATCCTGAAACCCAAATCCCAGCAAGATGGCACTTATCAAGTGATATGTGCGGAGTCGGAAACCACTCTCCGGCAAAGGGCAAGAGGTTAAGTCTGAACTACATTTCGGGTAGGCACCAAGCAGACGTAATCTCGGATGACTTTGCTCGACCGAGCCACTGCTGGCCTTTAGCTACAGCTCGGCTTTTGCAGGATAGAGGTGGGCGGTTCCGGGCTGTGGCAGAGCATAAGGGGCTTCATACTATGATTTAAGGTATATTCCCTGATTGAGGGGCATTGGGCTCCCTGGGAATTGATATTCGCGGATGAAAAGGTGATATCCGTGCCAACTTGCATCTTGCAGCTCACGGCTCTGGGCTTTGGATCTCGCTTTCGGGGGATGTCGGTTCAGGGGTTTAGGGTTCAGGGGAGCTCGCGGTTTAGCCGTTGCAGGCTTGGCGCTATTCAGGCTCAGCCTCAACGGGCCCAAAGCCCGAAGCCGAGACCGAGACCTCGAAGCCACAAGACCAGAAACCGCAAACCCTAAACCCTTTACGGTTAGACAAAAACCCGAAACACGAAGCCCCGAAACCCCACACATTAAAGCCTCAACACCCAAAACCTCAAAAGCTCTGGGGACACCCCGAGCCGAATCGAGCCTTTCCAGGACCACAAAGCCATTCGCCTGCGAAACTCAGTAACCCCCTCCCCCTGGTTTACGGCTTCGGCGGTGAGGTCTAGAGCTTAGGGTTTAGAGTTGAGTTTAGGGTTTAGGGCCTGGGGTGTGGGTGACAAGCACTCACCTGTCTCGATCGTGCTAATAACTCTTTAAATCAGACATGTATATGTATGTCTAGGATTGATTGTAGCACCCCATACTTGGAGCTCATGTTCTAGTAAGCCCTAACATGGGCTTGAAGTATAGTTACCCTACTTGTAACCCCGACTTATTGCCACACCTGAACATCCAAGTAGACAACAGAGTGCCATAGATGAATGCATGTCAAATAGCGAAACTCACAGGCGACCTGGCATGTGCGCCCCAGCCGCAATATTTCACATGTTGTTTCCAGGTCTCGCTGACATCAATCGACGTTTTGAACTGGCAGGTGTCATGTAAACAACAATAGCATGCCATCATGGCTACGGATGTACTTGTGAAGACGCAACACAGATTTCCCCGTCTACCCGCTGGGGCCATTTCATTGAAAGCCGCCGCCGATGCCAACTGTGAACCTCATAGAGCCTAAGCAAATTGATGTCACAACAACCCCGCGGCTCAGAGTTGTCAATGAAATTTAAGGCGTATGCATGCTGGTCTCTGCAAATAAACAAGCAGCCTAGGTCTCTATACATTTCTTTAGGTGTATAACGATGTGAGTAGATGTGCAAACATTGCACACATGCATGCTTCGGGACATTCCACCATTCGACGGGTAGTGTGTCTCTCTCTCTCTCTCTCTCTCTCTGTTTCTGTAAGCTGCAGAACGAACTGTCGACATCCTGCCTTCAGCGCGGACAGTGACGTCTGAAGAAGCCGAGCACGCTCCGCATCGTCTGCGGCAGCCGTTGGGTTTATCCAGGCTACCAAGTTACCAGGGGTTCTTCAGATGAAGAGTGCTTATAGGGTTTTGGAGCCTATGGGCACCTTCATATGGTCGAGATCGATCCGACAATGGCCTGCGATGGCAACCTGAGATCTAGCAACTCTTTTGTGTTGGTGCCATGCAGCGTTGGTTTCATGGGGGTTGCTTTTACAAAGTGGAAGCACTCCTACAAATGCTATGAGTCCTAAACCCTCAGCTCCACAGCCCCGAGTCATGATTCCCTAAACCTCAACGAAGCCTCAGTCTAAACCCTCATCTCTGAACTCGTAATTCCCAACCACTACACCCCAGACTCCCTGCATCCGTTCAGAGGCCTGTGTAGCCCTAGGGCTACACCGATATAGTATAGACAGTATAGACTTTGCCCGTAAGTAGTCGATACATAGGTACTTTACAGCCCATATAAGTATAAGTATATACCATGGGGTATAGGGCTTAAAAGCTCGGCTTCGAAGAAGTCCCGGCCTGCATCGGCCCAGCCCCCACAGGCCACAATCGGCGCCCCGCTGGTGTGCCCGCCCTCGGCATCGTACCTAGCACCCGCGGCTGTTCTATCAGGGCTCTATGAAGTTCGGCTAGGCCTGCTCGGGTTCTATGAGGGTTTCGAGGGGTTCTACAAAGGTTTGATGGGTTAATAACGGTTATCATAGTTACTACTAGTGTAGTCGCTTATAGTCCATATACAGTAGAATGCATGCTAAAACCCTGTTCTGTTTGTTAAGGCCCCATATCAAACAAAGTGTTTTCTGTTAACAGAGTGTAATTTTAGGGACTCTCGGATCAAGGCTCGAAGCAGCACGGAACAGCCGGAAGAAGTCACACCTATTCCTAGATAAGCAGTAAAACCTTGAATTCTAAACCCTAAACCCTGGAGCCCAAACCCCTATATAACCCCAAACACTACATCCTAAACCCAACGTCCTACACATTGAAGACTACATCTGAAAAGCCCTAAACCCAGCACACAAGCATCACAGGAAGACGCTGTTGTCCTCTGTGGCATGCAACGTCCGTTGAAAAGATATGTTATTTGTTTCGGGGTTTAGCGTTTACCTGCTAAACAAAACGGAGGTGCAAACTCCGAAATCCGGGGCACAGGAAGGTCCTTGCATGCCCTTTGGGAGGCACCTCGGCAGTGGCATGGCAGGCCGTTTGCGGGGCTGGGATATTGGGATCTTGGATTGGCATCTGGAGTTGTTGACATCATGACAACGATTTTGTGGATTTTGATCCCGGTTCGGGTCTTGTAATGTCAACTGCCCAAACGATTAGGAGCGGTCCTGTTGCATGACACTCCAGCAATCTGCTACCTTCGCCACCAAAGACTCTGTAGCGAAGTCCTTGAGTGCCAAATATAGCGCACAGACTCATGAACATGTGCACTCTTACAAACAGGGCATTGGTCGTAACCTCTCACCTGTACTAGGATCCCCAAAACAACGCATCGCGTCGGGTCTGAACTACTTGACGCAAAACCCAAACCTAAAAATCAACCCTCACTGAGACCCTTAAACTCAAACTCTTCGAATCCGCAAAAGCCAACAACAGTCGCCAACAAAAAAGACACAAGACCCTGAACATCTCTGAAAAGCCGAGATGCATAGAGGAGAGGCTGCGACTTGGGTGCCGCAGGCGATGGCAAAGTCTGGTGCCTGGGAGGTTGCCAACGAATGACTTCCAGGCTGGAATTGTCGAGGGTCCGACACTGGATGCGAATGTCGTTCAGGCAAGTTATTGTTGTTTGAACGTGGGTGGGAACCCTACTGTAATAAGTAGTACTAGTATCTAGCTGCTCAAGCATTTTGATGAAACGTCCTGCATGTCTTACAAGTGCTTCCGACGTCAGCCTCGGGAAATCAGCCGTACTTGGAGGGGCTGAGGAACCCATGACCCCACGACCTACACTGACACCTGAGATTGAAGTTCCGCAGTCTGGTGTGATAAGTTACAAGTTTATGGGGGGGGGGGGGGGTATAAGCATAAGTAAGCAACGCTCAAAACACGGTTACACCACTCATCCGATAAATACGCCCAGAAGCCTCTGGCTCCAATACACCCCAAAGCCCTTCATGTCCCGAAGAGTCCATATATAGTATATACATATAAAATATATTATGTATATACATACACATACTACTGAGTATATGCTGTAGTACTGTAGCCTTTCCGTACCTGTACAATTTTAAAGGCCAGAGAATATACTATACAGGCACTTGGACCCTTACAAGTAGGAGTACATCTATCTGAAGTTGTGGAGGCGAATAAGACGACTGCCCATCGAGTCTCCTAGTCAAAGCCTGAATCTCAGGCACCTACTTCCCATTCTTCACTTCTTTGAGCAATGCGAGCACTTCGTCCCGAGGTAGAAACTGACCTGGGCATCTGTAGAAGCTTGGGGCTCCTGGTTCAGGGTTAAGAGCCGGCCCTAGATATAATCCAGAAGAGGGCCTCGCAGGCATGCGAGACACAAACTTCGAAATGAAGGGATCATAAAGACTTCCGCTGTAACCCTTAAGTGTTTAGGAAACAACAACCCTAGATCCTTGCAGCATCGAGCCCCTGGGTTGCTCTTCTCAGAAAGGCGTCAGTGCACAGGTGCCAAGCAAAGTCTCGACGTCGCTTGACCCAGAGAACTGAAACCTGTCGCCATTAGCTCTTGAACGAATTTGGCGAGCCCCCATAAGCCAGGTGACCATGATCAACACGAAGACTCCCACCTGTATTCAAGACGCCACTCCTTCGTGCAAACCCCAAATGTGAAGCTTCTATGTCAGGTCGCTGCTGAGTTCCGCCTTGAGGCCAGACATCCTGAACCTTGAACCCCAATATCTATCGAAACCCACTGGAACAGCATCCAAACGGGTTTGCGCCCGGAGATTACGCACAGCCTTGGGATGAAAGACCCGAAACCTCCAAGGGCCGCACAGAGTTGACCAACTTCCTGGCCCAAGCTTCCAAAGAGCTCTTCTGCTTTTTTTGGTTGGTGAGTTTCTTGTCTTCTGCTGGAGTTCAAGGCCTGGGTCCCTAAACCGAAACACCAACCCCTAAAGCCCACACCCTACTTTATAGTTTTGAAGTCTGTGGCGTTTGCTTGGTTAGCTTCATTGGAGGATGGGTCTCAAGCTCGGAGGCTGGCGTGATGATAGGCGGTCGGGCTATGACAACCCTGAGCCCAGAAACATGTACCATCACAGATACCCATCTACACTGTAAACTCTGCACCGGACAATGGACCCTGCAACGAAACCTAAAGCCCAAGTTTCGACACCTTAAACCGCTCAGAAGCCAGGAGCCTTGCCTCCACCAGACGCAGGGAGGCCTGTATACAATGGGTGTTTGGGCTTTGGGCTTCAGGTTTAGAGTTTAGGGCTTAGGGTGTTTGGGCTTTGGGTGATCGAAATGCTTCGATTTTGATTCCTATGAGAGGCGATACTCTCAGGGTAACTGTGCAAGTGGGGGTGCTGGGGTTTGGGATGGTTTGGGGCTTGGGGTTCATTGCTTGGATGTGGGCTTGAGGTTTGATTTATAGGATAAAGACTGCAAGTACACAATATATATGTACAGTTGGGTCCGACGCACCTACTATGGACAAGTTGAGGACAAGGGTTCCCATTCCAGCTTTCTCAAGCATTCTGCACATCCATCCTGGAAGCTGAAGAGTAGACTGAGTACACTTGAATAGGGCACTTCAGATGGCCCTACTTTTGAACGCACCCCCCCCTCCATGGTTATTTTCCATCTGATGTCCCGCAAGGGTTTAGGAAGTTGACATGTTGGAAGCGATTAGGTTCAGGATGATTGCGACTTCTGGCCTCTGGAACTGCAGGATTTAGGGGTACGATGTAAAACTGAGGTGTCTCGTAGCCAACGGATTTCGAGATTAGCTGTTTTGGCACAAGGTTGAGTATGAAGCGGTGATCTTTGGCTCCGGAAGCTCCCAGACTTTCGTAGCTCTAATCTGAAACACCAGAACTCTCAAACAAACAGGCAGAATCCACGAACTCAGACTTGTCAGCGCTGAAAAGGAAAAGCGAATCCGAAAGCAATAGCAAGTCGCAACAAAACTTGCATGAACCATGCAAAACAGCATCCTCACGAATTCGTGCCACCCCTAGGGGGTTTAGGGTTTAGGCTAATTACTACAACCCAAGCCTTCGACCAACCGATGCTTCTGTAATTTTGTAATGCTAATCCACACATCCAGGCCGCCTCCCATGCAGCCGGCATAGCTGGTCGCGCTAACGTCCTGAATCACGTCAGACTATCGAACTGGTGTACGGGTACATGTCTTGTGTGCGGCCGGTGAAGTTCAAAGATACGGCTTCCTGGACTTGCAAATGGCACCGTTGGGCGGGGAGAGCTCGGTCGACATAGAGCTCTGACGCCCAACAGTTTGAATGGGGCCTCCGCTTGTTCGATAGGTTTATGCCGGTATGCAGGTATCCCCAACGCCCGGAATATACAACCGCACACCTGAGCCCAAGACCCAAACCTTCAAAGCCCATCACACCCAGGAATCCCCCAGCGCCTCTTCCTTGCCGCCACGGCAGCTGTCACGCCTTCAGGAACTCTCCGAGGCTTTGTTGCAACGGTTACAAGGCTTTGCGGGTAGAGTTGCTCACTGGATATGCCCGATATATCCTACAATCTGCGAGAGTGCAAAGCTTCATTTTGCAACTTGCAGCCAAGCAACACATAGAATGGACTTCGACATGGGCTGTTAAATGAATCTCGAGTCGTAGGACCAATTAGGGATCAAAAGGTGTTGTCAGGGCGCACCACCCTCTGGGTTGCCTGGTAGCACGGCCGCAGCAGCCCTCATAGTGAGACCTGTTACAAAGGTGCTGTAGTCCCACCGGAGTTTATAAGCGTTGGGATGCCATAGTTGGAACCGTGGTAACGCTAGCCGCTAGACGTTGCAGGTGCAGGGCTTGTCACGACCTATATGCCGAAGACTCTGCGGAGTTGAACCCATTCCACAAAGCCCACTGCCGATAAACACGAATCCCGAACAACAACGGCCGATACCACAAATCAAATCTAGGCCCTTGTTAGGTTGGTTCGTCCACCGAAGATATAAGCCCGGGCGACACGAACACCCCTCAACTCTAATACGGGCGACCAGGCTTGAGGACTATGTGGCAAAGTCTGCACCACTCACTGCCGCGACCACTAGCCGCAACATCTGAACACATAAGATCACGCAACCCCCCAAAGATGTCGGCAATATATGGGCTATCGAACCTAAACCTCATGCCTAACGACCCGGGATGGTTTGGGCATGAACAAAAGCTCTCCATCCTTTGCTGTAGGCATCGAATCATTTGAAGCCTTATATAAGTCGTGAACTCACTCTGCAAACGTTTCGTTATTGCGTTCTTAAGTGTTCTTAGTAACCGTGCGTTCCCAATAAGTGACAAGCCGAATATATCCCTCATACCCTAGACCCTGCCAAATCACTCGGTCCTCACTCTCTTTAGGTGTCAGAGACTCGAAAAACAAAAAACCACCAAAGATTGTTATTGCCCGCCTCGCTTCTGCTGCGGCACCTTCACTGCAGGCAGAGCCCGACGCGGCTCAAAGATGCCTCCCAAAAGCTTTTCCCAAGAAGCGGGTCAGGGATTACATGAGCAGAAAGTATACATATATATACATATATACACACATACATATGTGTGTATATATCTATGTGTGTATATATATATCTATATATACAGTTCCAGGCTTTACTACGGCTTGGACGTACTTCATGATTGAGGAGTATTTCGTCGTAAAATACAATTAAATTGCAAGGGCTACTTCGAAGGGAGCCTCAAGCTTTTGACTGTTGAACTCTGTAGACTGTAGACTTATCCGGTCATACTGAAGCTCCTGCACTCAGATACCAAGATGGGAAGCCGGCCTGCCCCACTCACACGGCCGCGCTCGGCGACGTGGATGCGGGTCACACCACCTTTATTGTGGGCTAGCCCACTATAGTGGTTAGTTCGGATGAAAAAACAAGGTAACCAACAAATCAACTGCATGTCAGGGTCCAGGTCCAGGTTCAGGATGTATGCAGGGCCGACGGGCTGAGAAGGAATGGAGAAATAGAGCGAGCGACGGGGAGAGTGACGACACCTGAATCCCAGAACGCAGGACAAGACCAAGAAACACATGCCCACTATTCCGAGGGTAAATGCCCATAAAGGTGCATACTCCAGACCTATAACGAAGCTCGAGGCTGCCAGGACACCTCTGAGAGTCGCCATCTGCGGCAGGAGCCATCCAAGTCCCCCAGGCCCGAGGGCGGCTCAGGCGTTGCTTGGGCTTTGGAAGGCTGGGGGTTCGGTTTCCTTCGGGGATGTTGGAGTTTGCGGCGTATATTTTTAAAGTTTAGAGGTTTGAGTTTGGGGGTATAGGTGCTATCTTGGGCTTTAGGATCGAGGGCTGGATGAGGGTGTGTTAACTGGGAGATGCTAGGTTCGTAGGCTTCGGCAGCGGGTGGGGCTTTGGGATCTTGTGTAGGGGAAGCCTAACCGCCTAGTAAAGGCTGCAGACAAGCGGCAAACAGAAAAAGTGACGACAAATGCTCCAACATGCTCCACAGCCTAGAGATGCCTAGAGCGTAGACCTTGACCTGAGCCAGAACATGTACTGAACCTCCTATCATTGCGACATTGTTGGGATGTAAGCCTGGTGGGGGGGCCCTAAGGCTACGTGAGAGGAACGGGCTTGTGGATATTGACTTGTGCTTGTAATCTTCCGGGCTTCCGAAGACCGGCAGGGATCAAAGCCACAAAAGTGTCCGAATCAAAGGGGTTAAGCTTCAAGATCTTGTTGTGGGATTGGCAGAACTCTCGAATTTACGAGTGGCGGACTAGTGGTGCTCAGTCGCAACACAAGTGAGACTAAAGTTGATACAATCTGGTACTCATATGTCCATGTCAATGCCCCACGAGAGTTGTGCATTTGTTGTACCAGTATTAGCCTTCGGCAAGTGACCTTGAACAGGATGTCGAACCGAACCAGACATGCAATAACGTTGTGCTAGTATGGTGTCCTGGCCTACTCCACAGGACTCTGCACATGAGCATTTCAAGAGACTCGCTTCGCTGAAGCCAGAGTCGGTACAGTATATTGGGGCTGGCAGAACCAGTCTCAGTTTCCTACACTTTGGACCAACCAGTATCGGAAACCCAGCATCCCAGTGCCTCTGCCATGCTGTGAAAGAGCTCCGGCTAGCAGACCAAGGGGGGACTTCTCAGTTGCCTCCAAGCACTCAGAACCGCATCCCTGAGAACGCAGACAGGACCGCGCTTCCCGTGGACGACTGCATCAACAGCCGTGTCCCTTGGCACCATAACTCGGCTTAACCAGAAATGCCACGGTATACCGTAGATAAGTGAGTTGACTGGGTGATCAAGCACCCAGTCCTGCCCCGGGCCGCCAGTCGGTGTAATTTGCCGAAGTATAGAGAAGAAATGATCATAACTTGTACTCGTGATGCTCCTGGTGCATGTCTTGTATTCTGTCAATATAGGCTCGGAGCTGGTCGTTGACGTTCTGTGCGTTTAGCAATGCATGTTCGCGCTTCAGACCTTCAGCTTCTGCAAGCAGTGAATTGGCCCGGGAAGTTTGCCCCCTTCGTGCGTTGATTCCGGCCAATTTCTTCACATGAGAGATTAATGCTGCTCGTCGCAAGCCAGCTCTGTCTAGTCGTTGTTCAAAACTCTGATTGCCAACCATGTGTGCCATTGCACTCCGAACTTTTTCTGCGTTCAGCGAAGTGAGGCTGAGAGCCAGCTTTGCTTGAGCAGCCTTGCGAAGCAATCCAGCATCCAACATCTTTTGCAGCGCAGCTTTGCAGCTTTGTGTTCGGTTGATTCGGAGTTCAAAACCCGGGCGCCCTCGTGTCTCATACAGGCGCGCCTCGATGCAAACCTCTGTGGCAAGGAAAGTTCGCACACACTCCAGCACCGTTGCATTCTTTTGATACATCCTGAGTCGGAGTGATGCCAGCCCTCGTGGCTGCTCAATGTAGCCTTCTGCGTCAAAGAAGCCTGCCAAATAAGCCCAAGTGCATGGGCCAGCAACAGATGACTCAGTGCGCTTCAACATGGCAAGTTCCACGGAACAGTCCACCTCGTCAAACGTCGTTCCGAGCTGTGCAGCAAAAATCTCGAGCTGCCTTCTCTTGACAATGCTATGTGTTGCCATGAGGCTTGCTGCATCACGTGCTCTGCTGCCAGCCAAGGCCCAACTCAACATCGGCTTTTGGAGGCCTTGTCCATGTCTCAATCGGCGAATACATCCTCCGAGTGTCTGCTGAAGGCGCATCAAGGTGGCGACTCCATCGATAGACTGCCCGACCTGCAGAGCAAGCTTTGTGACGCAGCCATCACCGTCAAAGAAGCCTGTCAAGTATGCAAGCTCGTTCCCCGTCACCTTAGGCACATCTTTCTCAACCCCGTCAGTCTCGGATTTTAGTGGCAGGGTGTATCGTGTCTGATTCAGCCAGAATGAATTGAGTGGTGGCCACGGGACTGTAGCGAGCGTGGCCCGTAGCTGCCTGTTTTCCTCTCGCAGAACATTCAGCGAAGTATCGGCTAATGCAAGGCTGCCGACGGCCCTTCTGTTTGTTAAAGAAATTCTTGAAAAGCCCAGCCGCTTGCTCAAAGAGAGCGGCATCAATGAAGCCACGGCTCTGTACCAGCATCGCTGAGATTGCGCGAGTACAAACATCCAAGCGTCAACGGGTGTTTGTCTACACCACCACCCTTAGGGCTGCAGCGAGCACTGGTAGCAGCAGCACCAACAGAAGGGCAAGACAGGATGTACCACCCGCCTCTTGGGGTTGATGGATTGCTTCGGTGGTGCGTGGCTTGCGGAATTCTCTTAGGGGAGGTCTGAAGCCCCAGCAAAGCCTGCGGGCAAGCAAACAAAGCGCGGTCAGCGGCTTTGAACAAGCACCGGCAGCCCAGCCCGAACCCCGAACTTTCCTGGAAACTCATGTTCCGTATGTTGGTTGCATTTGTTTGTCAGTATAGAATGTTGATAACAAAACAACCTATTCCAAAAACAAGGTGCAATCTAGAGTCTAATCGTATGCAAACTCCGAAATCTCAAACTTTAAGTTCCCAGCCTATGAACACCCGAGCTATCATTCCGACAACTCCTTGGGGGCCACAAGAGCTCCGTAAGACGAATGCATAGGCTGGTGGTTGGCGTGGTTACCTTTTTGGATTTGGGGATTCCGGAAAGGGATTGAGATCTGCCGGAAGACCTGCGAGTTTGGAAAGAAAGGCTTGAGCTTCAGGTCCTTGTTTCATCTCTGTGGGGTTCGGGGCTGACCTCAAGTTGTACGATGCGTGACCTCATAATACAGGGCTCGCGGCCCTAGTTTTCGGATCTCAGGCAGCCATCCGTTCATGCGCCAGCCATGTCATGGCATCTTACATCGAATGTAATTTACTGTAAGGCCCTGTAGGGCAACCTGAAGACCAACCCTAAAGCCCTGAGATTTAAAGTTCGACTTCCAAAAGAAGCAAAGAACAAATCTAGATTTTGAGACGCTCTCAAGTACATCGTAAGCGGAGGCGCCGAGGCTCTTTGGCACGCCCGGCACATGTCGAAGCCCCGGTCGTTGGGGGCCACATAAGCTTCGCAAGACGTGCACTTAGAAGTAGTGGGTATTCGGTCTTGAACCTCTTCTACAGCATCGCAAAACAGCCCGAAACCTGCATGGTACATAATTATTCGAGGTGCTAGAGGTTGAATAGTATCTAAGCCCAACGCAGAATCAGTGCCTCACCAGAAGGAGAAATCCGGCATGCACTCCTTCGCCTGATGGCAAGGCGACAGCATTCGGAATATTAAACATAACATGCGGGTTGGGCGATCCTCCTCCGATTTGGTCGAATCCGATCTTGCTCCTTCCGAGAAGGTTGTTTTAAACGTTTTCTTGACAATCGTGTGACAACCACAGATCATCTCAAGGTTCCCGTGGCCTCTTGCCTACTAATATCATGCATACAACCTTGGCATGAACCTTTTCCAGGTTCCCCGGGCACACATGTTGCACAAGCCGATAGAATCGAACGCTATAAAGTCACGACATCGTTCCGATCGAGGTACTCAGGAGCCTTCAAACCTTTGCGAAAGCCTTCAGTCATGCTTCTCACTAAAACCTAAGGAAGCCTCCGGGAGCTTGAAAAGGACGACGATTTTCTCGGATGCGCAGATCCCAGCCTAAGACTCTCGTACACAGGGAGGCCAGAGTAAAAAACACCACCTCCCAGATGGCCGAGACGGCGTCGACGTGCTTGAGAACTGCCAACAGAGGCATGCTCTTGCAGCCAAGATTGTATGTGTCACGACTGTCACGAAGTGGACATCCTTTGCAGCGGCTTCCTTGTCCTTGTGGATACCCATTGGCACCTCCGACGTGTGAGACCATCCAGGCTCCACCAAAATACAAAAAGCAACAATACCGCTACAGATCCCAATTGTAAGTACACTGCATAGCAACATAGAGCTAGCAAGACGGCCTCGCTCCTGAACCCACTCTGCAGACTGATCAAAGGGGCTTGTCACAAAGTGTATGCACCACGGTTCTGGTACATGGACCGAATTTCGTTGATGTGTGCCTGAAGCTGACCATGCACTTTCCACGCATTGAATAGTTCATGTTCGCACTTCTGTTGTTCGACGTCTGCAAGCATGGATTCAGCCAGAGATTCGTGTCCCTTTTTGTGCGCCCGTTTGGCCTTCCGTAGGGCAGAGGTAATCATTGCGGCCCTTTGCAAGCCGGCCCCGTCCAATCTGGTCAAACAGGCTTGGTTGCCCACCATGGATGCCATCGCATTACGAACTTGCTCCGCATTCTGCAAAGAGAGGCTGAGCGCAACGTTTGCCTGAGCGGCCTTGCGAATCAGCCCAGACTTCAATAACATCTGCAGTACAACCTGAGAGCTTGATGTTTTGGTGATCGTTAATTTATGGCCTTGGCGGCCCCGACCTTCCTGATAGATATGGGCCTGGACACCCAGCTCTCTGGCGAGGAAATACTGCAAGCATTCGAGAACTGTAGAATGCTTCTGTGCTATTTTCAGAACGAGCGACGCCCTCCCCCTTGGCTGTTCAATGTAGCCTTCTGCATCGAAGAAGCCAGCAAAGTATGCCCAAGAGCATGGCCCAGGCACGGCTGATTCACTGCGCTTCAGGAAGCCGAGCCTAAGTTGACAGTCTGCTTGGCCAGCATGTGCCTGGGGCCACTCCGCAAGAAGATCAAGCTGGCTTCTTTTCACGATGCTATTTGACGCCAGTATTTTCGCAGCATGACGGGCGCTGCTTCCGTTCAGTATCCATTGCAAGGCTGGCTTTTGCAAACCCCTTCCATCTCTCGATCTATAGATGCTTCCCCCGAGTGCCTGCTGCATGCACATCAAGATACCGAAACCGTCGAGGGATTGCACGACTTGCAGAGACAATGTGCGATTGCTCGTTCTACCCTGGACACAGCCGTCACCATCAAAGACACCTGCCAAGTATGCAAGCTGTTGGAGTGTCAGCTGCATCAAACCCGTTTCCGATTTATGCTCAGCATGTAGGGGCAAAGCGTACTTTTTGCGATTGAAAGTGATTGAGACCACCCGCGGCCAAGGAATTGCGGACAGTTCAGCGCGCAACTGCTTGTTTGCCTCTTGCAGGACCTCCAGCGAAGCATCCACAAGTTTACTCGGATAAGGCGGTGAGGGCGAAATTGCCGAGCCGACAAGCCATGCCTTGCACGAGCATCGCCGCACTTGTGCAAGTATCAACATCCGGGTTCTGGTGGCCAGCTGAAGTCGTCGCCAGATTCACCAAACGCAATTACGAACACATGCAAAGAGCCGAAACAGCAGATGTACTAGGACCTAGGAAACCTTCAAGCAATCTTAAGTCGGCTGCCTTAGCAAAGCAGTTTTCAGGAGCCAGCACCGGCAACCGCCTTCTGCAGTCCTACACAGTCATAAACCGGAATCCATGAAGCAAGACATGGCATGGCCTTATCATGCGTCTTGCGGTAGTTCCGAGCGGTGTATGACGCCAGCTCCCAGACCTGAGTCACCCATATCAACACCGAGTGACTATAGCTAACGTGCCTAACTTAATTGCAAAAGGCTGTTATGCAATGATTGTGGGGTCATTGAATATTGCATATATGTGTATTGCCTGAAATCGCCAGTGCCGTTGAAAGCTTTACAGTAGAAGCCAGATTTGCTCCTTGTCCAGTCCTTTGTCTCGGAGCCCTGCGCCTCGCAACACCTGCGTAAGCCCTGCGGAAACCGCGTGTGAGCTTCACGAACGAGCCTTGTCGCGCACGTGTAAGGCAGATCGACACAGCCCAACACTGAGCAGAGCAGACCCGAAAACGCCCAGAGCCCAAACCCTGAATGCCTGCAACTTTGCAGGAGCAGGTCTGAGATGGCTCGGGTTTATCAATTTCTCCAGCATGGTGCCTCGTGGCATTGCTCAGTGCGAACCCCAGCTGGCGGTTACCGTTTAGAACACCGACATACTACTCATGAGAAAACTTACCTCCGATGAACCCTCGGTTACAAAGCTCACTCTGGCGAACCCTAAATCCCCGAAGCGACACAGTCGACAGCCATGAACCATCGAGGCAGGCACCCTTTCTGGGTCTCGACCATGATGCTCGTAAAAGCCCGACCAGCGACACCTGGCGAAACAATGTCGGCATGCATGGAAAACACGTGGTTTGGGAGGTGGCTTTTGAACCCATGAAGGGCTTCAAAGCTTTAGGTTGTCAGGCCTCGGTCTGGGATTGAGGGTACAGGGTTCGAACTTAAGTTGTGGAGTTTCCTACTGAATTGAGGACTCCGGAAGGTTCTTGTAGACCCATGTCTGGTCCTGCGAGACCTCCGGGCAGAGACTTCGGCACAATCCAGCAGTAGGAAATGGCCCTCACACCGCAGACCACAAAGCCTCAAGCACTCAAAGCCTTGGCTCAGAGATGTTGAAATCTCTCAGGGCGAACGGCTTACAGTACGCCCTACGACAGCGCTCTCGATTCACATTCCATTTTCGGTTCACGAAAAAGGATTTAGGATGTAGGGGTTCTTCGGATGAACTACTGGGAGCAGTACCTGCCGAGACCCCGGATGCCCAGGACCCAGCGAGCTCCAACAGCCATGAGCTCCTCGCAGCAAATGGTAACTCCTAAAGCGACAACGAGCATGACAACACGAAAGCATTCTTAGGTTCAACCATTCCAAACAAAGAACCTATACACCTTAAGTGCGCAAACACCAGACTCTGAAGCTCTGTACCCTGCCAGCTCTACCTCGTCTTCGGAGCAAAGCCCCCATCGGAGGACCACAGCAGGAGGGGTTGGTGGGCCTGCCAACGCGATCTTAATTAGGGTCAGAGGGACCTCAACCCTGTGGCTACAAGTACCACACTATAGTTGCCGAGTGCCATGGGCTCGGCAAAATCACCGTTTACTAGGAATAAGTATAGGATTATAGCAATGCCAAAAGCATCCGAAGATCACCTACTAAGGAACCATAAGACAGATTACATCTGCAGTACCTTTGAGGTTTCAACTCAACACGCAGTACCTACTTTGGGTCTCGCAGGCCCAAAGGCAGGGTTCCGCTAGGCTGTTTGTACGGGTCAGAAACTCAGGATTGAATGCTGAAGGAGACATGGAGGATCTTTGGGTGCGAGCTCTGTTGGGTCCGGAAGTTAACACTGAACAGCAAGGACTTGAGAAGCAGACCGTGACTTCATAAGTTGAGACTTTGAAAGCCTCATCCAACGGGAGTGGCGACAAACTGCAACAAGGCAACGTCTTTTAGGTAGCTACATAGTGCTCACAAGGCCGAGCCAACAAAGCTGAGGCCCTAAACCCTAGCCATGCCTCACCAAAAGCTGCATTTGCTAAGCTCGGCCACCTGCTGCAAAACGCTTTGGAAACCTCAAACGACTTAAATCGGAGTGTGGGTTACTACGGTGTTGGGTTACGGGTTTTGGAGGGAGTTAAGGGTGCAGGGGTTGGGATGTGTACACAGCGTTTGGGATTGCTAAGCCCTAAGCTTTACACTCAAGAAAAAACGTTTTGAGGTGTTGGTATCAAGCCTGGGGTCTGCAGGGACTTGTGGCCCACGTATTTTGGAGCCGTCTTGGCAACCAGGGAAGGCTCTGCACGTACGAATTTAGGATGATCGGCACAAACAAGGAAGTTTAGTTGACGGCCCTTCTGTCGAAGTGCTTGCACGGGCCCCGCGCAATCCAAACGGCTCTGCAGAGATGCTGATTAAACCGTCGTGTCCTACGTCAACAGTACGCATCTCCCAGCGCGTGATGATACTTAGTTTGTGAAACTCTGGCCCATGCATTGGGCTCGAAATGCAATCCCCTGCCTGCCGGACTAGGATTCCCACTATGTGCATGTACACGGCAATATTTTCAGTGGAACCAAAGCTTCCCACCAATCCCAACGTCGAAATGGATAAAGGTCGAGGGCTTAAGGTTTGACCACCGCATCCTGGATACGGAGCAGGGCCTAAACGCTGGACCCTCCGCCGAAATTGAGTAGTAACCTCCGACACTGGAAAACCAGCAGTCCTGCTCTAAACTCAGAACTTAGACGACCCTAGTCTCGAAACCACAAAAGGCCATTCCTGGACCCAATCAACACTAAACCATGACCATAGACCCCTAAATCTCAAAGCTGAAGCAGATCAGTCCAAGGCTTTCTGCCTCATCTCGCGCTCATGGGGGTAGCCTAATGCGGCCTGGGACCATATCACTGCAACGAGATTTTCTATAGGATCTAGGACATGGGATTCCAGGTCCACAAGGTATATAGGGTCTCATGTTGAGGATTTAGGGCTTTACTTTTGGGCCTTCAGGTTTTTCAGGGCTGTACGGTTCAGGGTGCAATGGTAGGGGTCCTTCCGACGGTGCTCCCAGGATGTTTCCATCTGACTCACTGACTGTAGAGTTCGATGAGGTCTGCATAGGAACTTCACAAGGTCTGGGGTACGCAGCCCCATGGTCACACGGAAGTGCATTAGCGGGACATGAGTGAAACAGATTAGGGCCTACAACCGGGCATGGTCTCGGGGCCAGATCCTCTGCTGCCAACTTCCGGGTGAGGCGTGGATCAGGCTTTGCAGTTTAGGGTAATGACAGCTTGGTCATGCTTTGGGATTCGGGGTTGGGAATTAGGCACTGGAGCGTGGAATTAAAGCTGTGCTTCTTACCCAGCTCACAACCGGAGTTGGGATGCTTCGGAAACTTTCGTTAATTTCGAGGGGCGTGCGCAGACTCGGAATTTTTATCCCAGAGATGACTACGAGGTTTGGGGTTCATGGTTGAAGTTCCGGGCAGTTAAGCTTACTTGATCGTTCCCTCCGATTTTGCTTGCAGACCGCATGGGGATGCTTTGCACATGCTTTGCTCGGACGGCACGCAGACGGAGCCAGAAGAAGCGAACCCTAAACTGGCTTTCAGTACGTCAGTCTTTGATGAAGTACATGACTCCACTCCAGCCCATCCCTGCTGCCTGCACATAGCGCACGCCATCGTGCACCGCATCCCAGCCGAAATGCGTGTGGCCAAAGACGTGGATCTCCGGCTTAAGCTCCTGTTCAGGCTGCCGGATCCAGCTTCTAGGAGTCTGTTCCAATAGAGTTTCCAAAGTTTGGACGGACTGCTACTTATGCATTGTCGGGGCCGTGGCTATGAGACATACGACCATACTGTCCAGAGATGCATGACAAGCTTCGAGCGCGTCTGCAGCTTCGAGTGGAAGGCGTTTAGGCTTTGCTCACTCGACGCTTAATCCTACGAGCTGTAGGGCTGAGCAATGGAGAGTATATCCTACAGGACCCTTACATCAGGCCACAGCTATAAGCATCACGACCTGGTGCAATGGATTTGTTGCTGCTGACAGCTCGTGAAATGGTGATAACTAGGGGTTTGGGGTAGGGTTTTGAGACTTCGTGCAGGTTCTAGCAACTTCACGAACCAGGTCTGTCGGGATTGTTGTCGAAGCTGAAAGTGCGCGAACGGTGGTTACCGGGGTTTCAGCTGGAGAACAGATATGACGTTTGGCTTCTTCTACGAAGCTGGTGATCTTAATTGAAGCATGATGAATGAGATACGAAAACATAATGACACCGAACTCGCCACCCGTCTATAAGAACACAAGAGAAAACCTACAATAACCAGTCCATGGGTTCCTCCACCCGCTTCCGCAGGTAGTTCGAACCACTGGCCTTTCACGCAGACGGATCGGACTAGGTGTTCATAGGGCTTACGTCTTACGGTTTGGCGTTGGGGATTTGGGATTGAAGCTTTGAAAAGACACTTTGATGGCATTTGCTTCCAGGGTACCTGAGGCAATGTTGGAATCCACTGCTTGTCAACGCAACTTTTGGCTCCGGACTCATGCTTCTATGCGTCATGTGGCATCTGCCTCATGTGTCTTTCTACAGATCGGACACTCGGGGGCTAGAATGATGGATCCTGAGTAGGGTTGACCCTAAGTCTCCGAGTTTGAGAGACTCTGCTCTCGACTGTCAGCTTGATCTAGCAGCTCCCACCGAGGGTCTGTGAAACAAAGCTCTGGATTTGGCTCATGCGGCGCTAAGCAAGGGTTTGAGGATGTTCTGTTGCTGGATTTGGCTCATGCGGCGCTAAGCAAGGGTTTGAGGATGTTCTGTTGCTGCTTCTGCAATTTCTTCTGCTGCTGCTGATGCACGACAACGACGAAGACGATCGGCGACGGCGCGCAGAACGACGGCGACGGTGCACAGAACGACGCACGCTGATGATCACGAACATGGCAGTACTGCACATACCGGCGAGTCACAGTCGCCTCCTGCTTCTGGTAACATAAACAGGGCGAGCACATTCAGGAAGCGGGGATACTGGGCACTAGCCAGGCCAGCCCTAAACCCCAAACCTTTACACAAAGGACTAAGCTGCTAAACTTGGCCCTATAAACCCTGAACCCTGAATTGGTGTTTGGCTCAGCAGCTTGCCTGGCCTTCGGCAGGCAGGGCAGCGCCAAGTAGCGCTTCTCGAGCGAAAGCTCCTGAGCGGCCCGTAGCTTACCCGTAAGCGCCCATGTGCCTACATAGTATACGGATAGTTCTCTAAGTTACGGTGCCCATATAAGGGCCCTTTTTGTAAGGGTGCCGTACTATTTTCGGGACCTCAAAAAAGACCCTAATTTAGAGAACTATCCATAGACTTTGACCCGAAAGCAACTAAGTATGCAACTTGTTGCTCCTATTTGGGCACATGGACCGGCAAAGCAGTGTACCCGGAAGTGAGTGGCGGGTTGGGACGCTTGGGATACTCTCTGACAGACATGAGTGCCACTAGGGGAAAGCTGAAGGGACAGCTTCATCGTCTAGTTCAGTTCAGCAGCCGTTGTAACAAGGAACCGGTTGGATACCCTAGCAGTACCTGTATCTGCTACCACAGCAGCTCCTGTGCACGCTCACTGATAGTGCAAAACGTGGCAGCAGCTATGCTTGAAGCCAACACCGGGGAAAAACAAAGCTTACCCTTACACCCTTCCCTGAACGCCTGAACATTGAATCTCTGCCGTCAGAAAGCGATCCGGGGGAGGAAGTGTGAGAACGTCACGAGAGCCTGCAGCCGCAGGCAGTCAACGGTTTAGGGTTGAGGAACCTGGTGATAAGTGCTTGGGGCTCGGAGTGCTGGCTTGGAGGAGGGGGTCTTCAGAATCGCAAAAATTCCGCAGGTTTTCCTCTGACATCCTGGGACACTTATCCTGCAAGCAAAGCTTCTACCACTCGGCCGCTCATGCTGCGACTGCTACTGCTAAACACCACGAGTAGGTCATCGCAGCAATAGAATCTACATTACGAAACCTTCCTTCACAAGCACTACTTTTGCGAATTCGCTGAAACGACACGTTAAGACCCTCAATCCGAAACTCATACCTTAAACAGCCTTAAGCCTTAAACTCTATAGATTCCTAAACATAGGCCTAGAGCCGATCTCGACAAGCCCAGTCAACTCGTCCAGGCCTCATCGCTGGGGCGGTCGGCCAACGGAAGCTGCAATCCAAGCGCTTCGTTCCTGATGTTCTAAGCGTCTGTGTGGTGGTTGAGGTATGTGTTGCACTTCCTCGAAAAATGACTGCATGCACACTCGGTAGTACACTTCACTACACCGATAGGCCGATAGGCCTTCCATTTTGATTCCGAGAGAGAGAGAGAGAGAGCATGCATCTATGCCGAAGATACTCAGTCAGGCTCTGACAAGGGCCTTGCAGTAAAGGCGGAAAGTGGGAGAACATAAATTTGATTGTATAGAAGCCCCGAAGTCGCCGCTACGAACCAAACTGCTGATGCCGCCACATCTCATTTTATCAATCCGCCGCGCTGCTGAGTCATCGAACATGGAAACCTTGGCATGGCATGCCCTGCTCGGGCCCTACTGAAAACAGGGGCAACCACACGTCTCTAACCAAACAATTAATTCAGAAAAGATAAAAGGTAATGTGGGCAGATTGTTCATGCCTGGCTCTAATAATGGAGAGCATCACACATTTAGGGGCACGACCCCTGGTGGGAACCGGCAACGCTCGTAGTCCACCATGCACTCCGCGACCGAAGGCACTTTCCAGCCTCAGAGAGCTGATGTATACCCGCGAAGAGTTTAGAAAGCTCAAGGTCTGAAATTTCGAGGTTTAGCTCTGGCAGCGCAGGATGAACGTTGGGGAGAGACAGCCCAGAACAGGACAGACCAAGGGGGCAGGACTCCAGGGCCACAAGCTAACTCCTTCTGAGCCTGAGTCCTTCGCGCTATTAACCTCCTGAGCGACGAGCCCTCTAACCTAGACTCCAGAAAGCGCAAGCCTACTCCAGAAGCCCCGTACCTCGATATCAGCAGTAAGACGTAAACCAGAAATCCCCGGACTCCAAAATCCCCATGTATCCCACAAAGCTAAACTCGCAAAATAATTAAGCACTCGCATAAGCGCCTTCATGATTATACTATTTTCGTGTAGATTATACTATGATTATAATGTATAATAAGTGAACTCTAGAAACACGTTGGCAACTACTTCGGCCCATCTGCCCTAAACCCTAAACCCGGACCCTAAGTCCTAGGCCCTCTCGCCTTCGAGATCGGGCTCGGGGTCCCAACTCCTAAGCTTCGCATTGTGAGCTTCGCAGAGGTGTGTGGTTTAGGGCTTTAGGGGTTTAGGGTAGTGTTTAGGGGTTTACGGTTTAGGGAATTTCCAGGTCCGGAAGCCGCAAAAGTCTGTGTTTTCGGGTTCAAAAAGCTGTTCAAAACTTGTATGATGCATTTGGGTCTTGGGTTCAAGGGCGCTTTTAGGCTAAATTAGCTACTTTCGAAATCTCGAAAGTGTCGTGGCCATGTACAAATCGTATCTAGCCTGGTCGGCCAGGTACTTCGTTTCGAGATACCTTGGTTTCTGTCGGGTTGGTCTTTGGGGTATTAGGGCTTGGGGCTTCGGCAGTTGAATCCCATTTCAAAAATGGAGCTGCTGGATTTCACGGTTCAGAACCCTTCCAATAACGAGCTCTAGTACTGCTGTCAATTCGGTGATGTCCTCGGCAATCTTAGGGTAGATTGAAATGGGGACGTGCAAACTGCCACAGTTATTTGCAAGGACTGTTTGCAGCATTTATCTGCACGATGCTGTTGTTGCAGGTGTAATATGCGAGATATCAAGTAAGGTGACGTCTTCCTCACCTCGAACAGCACTCGAGCATGCATCAGCACTAGTAACCAAACAACACCCGCATAGGTCCGGGCAAGCCAGAAGCCGACGAAAGCGCTTCCCTGCACGACCCCAGCGCACCTCTCGAACCACTCCAGAACACTTTCAAGAGCGGCTACCCGCAACCAAAATCATTGAGCATTGGAGCTCATCTGCTGGATTGCCACTCAGCGTCTGGTGATGCCAAGAGAGGATGGGGCACACCCAGACTCCCTGTCCCGGACATCTAGTTTGGGGCTCCAATCTTAAGGCTTCGGTTCCCAGATGCTTGCAGATCAAATGCTTCAGAACTTCGCAAGTTTAGAAAGTTTGGAGGCTTGAGTGTAGGGCAGCCAACACCCTATAATGTAATGTGCAAGTTTGAGTAGCTAGCTAGCGATACAGTTCGTTGAGTTTCGTAGTAAAGCATTGTGACATATACGGTCATCTACCCCCAGGCCCTACTCTAACTATTGAAGTCACCATCTCACATCCCACGGAGGCATGACAGGCCTTCTCAGCGGTGCCCACGCGCGCAGCGGCACTGTGCACCGAAAGGCGACGACAAAGATCCTGTCTCCCAGGTTCTTGGTTATATATGTTCAAGCCCAGTATAAATTACATTAGAAGCGAATGAAGGACCCCTGTGCTAAGGAATAATATTAGTAAACACTCCGGCTTCTGATTACAGGGGTGCTGATGCCTCCTGCACTCATAATATGTGAAATTTCTGTACGAACATGGTCGCAGTACCCAAGAACGTAGACAAGTGACGCACAACCCCAACTTTTCTGCCATCGCCATTGCTGCCTGGATACGCATAATTTTTGCACACTCTAGCAAGGATGCCGTTTCACGTGTTCATGAGTCTTTGGGCCGTCGGGGTCTAGGGCTCAGGTTGGTTTGGTCCTTAACGTCAGGGCTCGACAGCTCAAGGAAGCAATGGCCTCGAACCAAGGCGGGTTTTAAGACGAACCTGGACCCATAAAGCCTACCTTTTTGGTGTTCCTTATTATGACTTCCTTATACAAGTCCTTAAACAGGTAGGTTCTTTCGGGTCTAGGAAGGGTTTAGGGACTTTGGTGGGAGGAGAGCTAGAGTGAATCTCATGCTCACCTATTTAGAACCGGCGGCGCCTGGAGTTGCACCACTTTGTCCACGCAAGTGTCGTCGCCGTCGACCTCAGCTGACACGCAACTCTGCCGAGGCATCTTCATCCGGGGGTCGATAAGTGTGGGTTCCTTCTAGGATTTGCAGACCAAGCATCCAACGATCCAGATTCGGCCTTAATCAGATTCCTCATTTCCTGAAGGTCCCATGTCCGTCCCCTTTTCGGAGATCCTGTTGCTGGTTGTGATGCTACTCACTGTCGATCCCGGACGCTCATGCCAGAAGTAAAACACTTAAACTTAAACAACTTCAGACCACTTCCCATGTACCTCAAGCCAGGCTTGCAGGGCTGTTCGCAGCCGAAGATTGCATTTCAGACATGCAAAGACAGCATAGAGCCATAAGCCCAATACCCACGAGTCTTTGGCTCAGCAACCTTCCACACGAAACTGGACGCAGATCCCCAAAGGCCACACCGATTGCCTCCACCTCCTCCTTTGGGTCTAGGAATTCGTGATTGTGAAAGTGTCTAGGGTGTATAGATGGTACAAACTCATCTACAGCTGAATCTCCTAACCTCTTCCTCTCAGACAGCCTGAGCAGACTGGCCCAAAGATCGTGATTGCCCGGGACGAAGAAGACATCCGCGAACTTCCGTTTCAGCACCGCCTGCAGTCTCAGAGAGACTTCTACGGGAACCCCACCACTGTTCAAAACTACGCAGCTCCACCCTCACTCTCAACCACGCCCCACCCCGTGAAACAAAAACTGAAAGCCGCGGCGGGGTCTGGGTTGCAGAAGGCCCGAAGATGCGGTAAACACAGAACTGGACAAGAGAACGAGAGTGATGGCAAGGCTCCCTTTGCCCTTACGGTCTCCCCTGCACTACCCCTTAACTGAAGCCTTCCAGAAAGCTTCTCGCAACCGTTCTCAGCCTCATAATCGGAAATTAGATACATCCCTCATAGTAGTCCTTATAAGGCAACCTTTCGATTGTCGCAACCGTTTGGCCGAAACTGAGATCCTGGCCAGGGTCCGCTCCAAAACCGCGTGGGAGTCGGAGACGTCTCCTGTGCCAGCAATTTCGGGAGCTATATAGGGTTTAAAAAGGGCCTATATAAGGCTTATTTAGGGTTTGGGATTCAGGATAATAGATAACTTGCAGATTCTTTTTCAGGATTCGCTTAGGGTTTAGGGGTTTCCGTTCGTAGGTTCAGAGTCTACGGTGGGTTCAGTTCAATCATCAACGGATCGGTGCTCTGCACCCTGTTGCCTGCTTGGAAACCTCAGCGAACTCTCGCAAAGCAGTCCTGCGACGATCAGGGCATCATCCAGGAAGTCCGTATCCGAGATACTCTCGATCCACGCAAGGTTCTCCTGCAGGCGGGCTCTGGCTGTAGTTCGTGTGAGCTACCCATAGGCCCTAAAGTAGTTCCTGTTTGGGGGTTCATATTAAGAATCCTATAAGGTAACCCCCAAAAGGAACTACTATGGGGCCGATGGGTAGAGCGATGAGACTTGGGCTTGAGGGGATTGCAGTCACGGCGTAATCAATGCTGCCAGGCTGTCGAATCTTGATCGCTGCCCGGGCGACAGTCCTTGATGTCGGTGTGAATGTCCTGAGAAGTTTCAGGAGCGAGCCTATTTAGGGCCTGTTAGGGGTTTGGGGGTTGGAGCTCGTGGGGGTCTATGCCTACGCGCAATTTGGCACTCGGGCCGCATATATGCTAGGGATCTAGAATTGTAGGGTCCTTCCAAGAGCGACGCCCCCTGAACATCTCTCCAGAGTCGTCTTTCCAAGAAAACTACTTAAACAGAGCGCCATCATCAGTCCGTTGCTATAGGAGCCTGTCATTCAGGAAGCTAGCCGAATGGATCTGTCTGGCAATTTGCAGGGCACCTCTAGCAAGGACAACTCTGGTGTGATATGCATGTCATCTGGGGTTTAGGGGGTCTGCGGACAAATGCTTCGAGCACAAGGGTTGCAGGCCGCTTCAACAAGATACGTCAGGCTTACACTGCTTGTTCGAAGGGGATGCATCAGGAAAAACTGAACACCGCGGCCGAGTGGCGGAAATGGCCCACAGCCTCACCGAAGACATCCGGCGAGACCTAGAGCGCAGTGTGTCGGGTGTCGAGCCAGGACATGTGTGAAGGCGTGCATGGAGAAGCAATATCCCCACGACCCCCAGATCGAAATTGATGTAAACGTTGTTTAACGTGCAACAGAAGACATAGTGGAGGCCACAACAGGCCAACCACTTGACACATGCGAAATTTATCGATGCCTTAGCCTGTCGTCTTGCAGGCTAACAAAGACTTGGCTGAGCAGCAGCTGCACTCTTCAGAATGTCTGCATACCAAGCACTTCCAGCCTGAAAGAGCCCTAACCCGACACCGTGGGCACTTGGAGGCCCAGGGGACTTAGTAAGTCGGCTATAAGTAGGGTTATAATTGGGTTAACTCCAGTTAGGGTACTTATAACTCTACTTATAACCTACTTACTAAGTCCCTGGGCCTCCAAGTAGTGAGGAGACTGGCGTACTGGGGCTCCCCAAACCTCTACACCAGAATGATCTGTGCGCAGACCCCTGAGCCCGAAGACCTAAAGCTCTAAACCCCTATCATAGGCGCCTTATAGAATTCGAATAATTAGAATCGGGTTTAGGAGTATAGAATAGTAAAGGTTACAGTAAGGAGCCCTCTGAAGGAATACTCAGTTGATTAGGCTTCCATATGAGCACCCGCAACCCCTAACGAGGATTATGAGAACCATGAGATACCCATAGGCGCGATTGCAGTTCCTTTTTGCGGTCTATATTTCGGATCCTATAAGGCAATCTCAAAAAGGAACTACTATAGAGCCTATGGGTACCCATAACCCTTAACCCTGCACCCCTTAATACGACGGGGGTCCTGAACTTCTGGGATTCCCCGCGGGCAGCGAAGGCGCGAAGTGCGGCCGCCCATGGGGGATAAGAACGCAGGGTGGGATGTCAGTCTTTGGGCATATGCATATAGCTAGGGTTTTTTGGGGCGTTTAGGGTTTAGGGATATATGATATACTGATCGATTTTCTGTATGCAGAAGGAGGATGATGGCTTGAAGGGCTCTTTGGGGCTTATTCTTTGTGGTTCTAGCCTTACTTTGAGCTGAGGGGCTTAACATGCTAGTTAGGTTTTGAAGCTCCGGGTCTAGGTTCGTAGGGGGCCGGGTATTGGAGGTGTGGCAGGGTTCGAGCCTAACTTGATTTTGTCTTGAAGCCCGAAGATACCTACTTAAACCCTTTCTGCCTTTGTTGGTTCAGGGCTGTTGGTGGGGGTACTTGGAGGTTCATGGGTAGGTTTACTCCTGCTTACAAGTCCCCCTAATATGGGAAATCAGATGAGCGCGCGTCTATATTATGGTTCCTAGAAGAGGCCCCTTCACAGGGGGTACCGTTGTGGGGTTTCCCCCAACGTTTTACGAGACTTTGGGCACATGACTGCATGTTTGACTGAATGAAGTACCAATTACCAGACTAACAACCTTACTGATGAGTACCTTAAACCCTAAACCCTATAGCACCCTTAGAGGAACCCTACTTCTAACCCGACGTATAACATAAACCTTAAACCCTAAACCCCCAAAACCCTAAACCCCCAAACCCCAACCCCTAAACCCCTGCACCCTAAACACGAACCTCTGTGCAGGATTGCAGAATGGAAGGCTGGAGACCAATGCTCTGGAGCCTGAACGCTTCGGCTGTAGGACTTTCTTTAAGATGCTAGGGTTTAGGGCTTAGGTCCTAGAGTTTAGGGTTTTGTTGGTTTAGGGTTTCAGGGTTTAGGGGTTCAGGGGTTAGGATCGTCGGAATCGTCGGACATCCGAGTGCTTCGGGTTTGAAGGGGCAGGTGGGGTTATGATCCTGGAAGGTCTAGGGGTTTACAGGTTTTTGGATTTAGGATCCCTAGCAACCCTGTCGGGTGTGGGGGTTAGGATCTTTAAAACCCCAGGCTCGGGGTGTCGACTTGGAGGCTCCTGGGTAGCTATAAGTGGGGTTATAAGTCCCATGATCTGAGTTCTAAGTATAGCTACCCTACTTACAACCCTACTTATGACTACCCTAAACCCTAAACCCTAAACCCTACTTATAACTACCC